AAGGCTGAGACTTTGGGAATATGTGCTCATACCATGCGCGATCCTCCCATTTCAATATCATCCCCTGCGGGCGCCTGGGCGCCGGGTACGGGCTCCTTAAAAGAACATGCAAATTTTTTGGCGGGAGGGTGATCTCGGAAACCAGAAGAGCTAAGGGGCTGAAACTTTGTAGAGATATTCCCTGTCCAAGTACAACTTAAATATTTCAGATCCAGCCCTCAGGTGTGCGTGGCACTCACGTAAGGGCGTATGAAGGTTTCAGGGGAAAATTACTAATTCGGATGCCAGAAAAGCTGGAAGGCTGAAATTTTCAGGGAATGTTCTCAGCCCACATACGAGTTAAAGTTATAAAACTCAGCCCCCAGTCACGCATGGCCCAGTGAAATTTTTTGGTGGGAGAATGGCTAACTCAGGGGCCAGAAAAGCTGGGAGGCTGAAATTTTCAGGGAATGTTCCAAGCACAAGTATGACATAAACCTATCAAATTCAATCCCCAGTCATGCGTGGTTCTCATGTACGGCCCCGCGAGACTTTTTTGGCGGGTAAATGACTAACTCGGGAACCAGAAAAGCCAGGAGACTGAAATTTCAAAGAGATGTACTCAGCCTGTAAACAACTTAGAAATTCCGAACCCAACCTCCAGATGCTCCTAGTCCACGTGCGGCCCTGTGAAAGTTTTGGTGGGAGAATTGCTAACTCGAGAATCAGAAGTGTTGGGAGACCCAGATTTTAGGAGAATATCCCCGTCCAAGTAAAACTTAAATCTTCAAGTTCAGTCTTTATTTGCGCGTGATTCTCGTGTACGGGCAATTAAATTTCTAGCGGTAAAATTACTCATTGAACAGTTGGGTTATTTTCAAAAAATACCGCTAAACGGAAATAGTTTATTTCTATTTATGCGAAATTTACGATGATCTTCGGCACTAAGCACACAAGGTAGGTGTGAAGAAACAACCGTTCATGCAGTTAACCTAATTCAAGTATTGTGCAAAAACGCATGATCGCACCGGCTCGCCTGGTGCGTTTCAGCCTGGGTTAGTATGAAGTCCGGTCGTTTTTTCGGCAAATGTTCGCTTTTTGAAAAATTGAAAATGCAAATTTTCTGGAAAAATTTTTCAAGTTTCCAGTTCGCTCAAGAGTGGAAGTGTTGCTCAAGCGGTCACTTGTGAAAAAATCCGAATACGCAAATAAACTAATGCTCATTTACATATTTGGGTGAGAGAGGTCGTTCGCTGCAAAACGCACTCGTTTCTAATTTTTCGGTAAGGTTGAGTATTTCTCACGCCTACCTGCGGGGAATTCTACCTCCAAGCGGAATTAAGATTGCATTTAGGAGTAGAATATTCCAGCGAATTTTCAGGCTCGAAGCTTGTCAGGTAAGCAAAATATCCACTTCGTTACAAACATTTTGAAGGGCCCTAAGTCGTGGCTCAAGTGCAAATCCACACTCATTTTAGGTATACTATTTCCTATATGGGAGACAAACATCATGACAAAATTTCATCCACTATTTTCCGGCAAGTTTTCGAATTGGCATAGTACCAAGTCGAAAACTTTGACGTGGTCGTAAGACTGCTCACGCGTGCGCGACAGCCGAGTTTAAAAACTTTAGTTCACACGTACATACAGAATATCCCTGCAAAGTTTCAGCTTTATATCTTGCCTGGTTCGCGAAATCAATACCGAAATCGTTTCCTGCCAACGAAATTTGCATTTTTTTTTTTGGAGAGGGAGGGAGAGG